TGGAAAAGTGTGAAGGCAAGAGGAGAAGGGGACGACAGAGGATGAGATGGTTGGACAGTGTCATCGAAGCAACCAACATGAATTTGACTCAACTCTGGGAGGCGGTGGAGGATAGGAGGGCCTGGCGTGCTCTGGTCCATGGGGTCACGGAGAGTCAGACACAACTGAACGACTAAACGACGACGACAACGAAGTCTTATAAGACCAGAACACAGTGGTAAATGATCATATTTCTCTGTGGGCATGCCAGGAAGTTTTGCCTGTCCCCTTCAAATCTAATATCTGTCCTAGCTGCTCCAGACCCTCATCTGGTTGACCATTAGTGGGTGAGAATTGTGTGAATAGTAATAAGAATCTGTATCCACTTATGTCATTGCACTAGCACAACACCAGTTGCACTAGTGGATGTGTACTTTCAGATTTAGTACAGTTTTTTTGAGTTGAGGAGTCATCCAGTCACTTGTACAATGCTCTAATTCCGAGTAATTCTGCTAGTGTTATGTGGGATTTATGCCAATACTTAGTTCCTGTAATATAGTTTGCAGTGTTCAAAATGCTTCACATGTGCATAATATTTTCATGACAGTTTTCACAACAATCCTATAAGTACTACTATGCCTATAAAACATTAATTTATAGTATGTTTCCATGCAGGTATCAACTTCCCTCAGTTCCTCAAAAAAACATTTCTCCCAGCCACAAACAAGGCTTCTGTATCTTTCTTCTGAGCTCTACACGTCTAGTTTGAAACCATTTTATCCGTTTCTCAAAAAGGAGACTGTCTTTGCTACACAGTCTAAACTTTCATTGGAATAATCAGTATTCTGTCCTGCTTACAGTAGGGATTACAAACAGGCCCAAACAAGTAAACAGTTTTAATCTTAACAGGTGGCCGAGGGAGATGAAAGTGATTAAGACTTATCAAATACATTAGGAAGCCAAGTGATTAAGTGCACATGTTCTGTCATCTTCCTGCAAGCCAAATTTGTTTATGCAAAACTGAACAGAATGTCATTGGAAGCCTATTTGTTAACAAGCGGTTTGCATGTCAAACGCCAATCCTCACCCTTTTAAGTCAGAAACTAAACATCACTAAAACACTCAGCAGCTTGCCATTTACTCAGATATGTAATCGGTGGTGAACACAATGCTTCAGGGCATGTACTCTGTTCTGGAAGTGGTTGTCTGCTAGATACATGAGTAGATCTGTAGAGAAGTACAGTTACTTCACGGCAGGTGACAGGAACATGCTCAGTCAGTATTGTGAGAACATGACAGCACTGCAGGATTGTGCAACCAAATCTATGAGGGAACTGGAGCTGGAAACTGTATCTGAACAAACCAAGCAAGAAACTACATGAATGTGCAGAATGTGCACGATGTGCAGAATTTTTACATTAGGGGTAACCCCTCAACAGTCTTTCATCCTCCAGTCTACAGAAAGCATCATATTTATCTTTCCCACAAATACCCACTACCTTTATACATTGCATTTTTCATGAAAGATTGTTTTATTGGGGTAGGAAAAAAATAGCTTACCCTATATTGTTGGAAGTGCATAAAATAATGACCATTTCTTTTGCTAAAAGTAAACGAATCCCGCAGCCACTGCTTATATCAAATTACAACCAATGTAACCATGGTATACCACCCCCTATTACCATGCTATAGCCGCAAATCCTGTTTGTTTTTGCTATGCACGCTAGCAGTCTGTTTTATGCACACATACCCTTTTCCCACCATTTATGCAAGCAGTAACCCCCTCCAGCTGGTGCAACCACAAGGTTGAGATCGTGCATTACCCATTACATCCATGATTCCCAACAGGATTCTGCTCATAGTTTTTACTTTACACAAAACAGAACCACACTCCTCTGTGAAGGGGGAAAAATCATGTATGAAGCAACTATTGGGTGTTTCTTTGATTCTACAGCTGCCCAGTGTTTCCTTAAAGTAAACTATGTGGGTCTGACTACTCTTGAGAACCAGACTGCTTTCAATTGAGTTTATCAACCAAGCATCCTTTGAGGAGACCAGACTAACTCTCAAAACATACATATTGTTAGATTGCCATAGACATTCTAAATTTTTAAATTTCACTTGTGCCCAGTTACAATGACATATAGATTATTGTGAGTTTGGGCTGAACATTCCCACTCTTTTCTGAATATTCCCACTCTTTTCTGCAGCTTGAAAGAGGTAATTAGCTTAGCTATGGATGAGGTGATTGTATTGTAATCAACCACACTATCATCCCTATGCTTGGTGAAAATGAATTCCTCCATTAGGTCTTCCTTCTGCGAGTCATTGAAAATGTAGACACCAACTTGCAAAATCATTTGAGTAAACAACGTCCCTTGAATATTTTTAGCAGGATCTTCAAAATGCTTATCTTTCATTTGTAGGAATTCTGTCAATCTAAGATGTGTGGTTTGGAGAGATGACTCCCAGTACAATTATATTCACCCATTATAATTACATGTGCTTCGAGGAACTGGGTCTTCAGTTTGGGAGAGCTTCGTCCAAACATTATCATAACAATATTTGGAATTACAGAGTGGGATATATACATTTACCATGACATAAAATGAAGAATGTAGACATTACTATTGCCCATAGTTGTATAACAAAAAACATGCCAGAAAGGGAGGATGCTGATGCAATTTCCTTTCCACTCTACATTTAGGCAGCAGGATACTGAGACATGTTTTTATTATTAAACAGTTCATCTTAGAGTTTAAAATAAAAAGAAATACAGTGGTGCCCCGCATAGCGACGATAATCCGTTCCGAAAAAATCGTCGCTATCCGGATTCGTGGCTATGCGGAACAAAAAAGCCCATAGGAATGCATTAAAACACGTTTAATCCTTTCCTATGGGCAAAAAACTCACCGTTCTGCGGAAATCCTCCATACGGCCGCCATTTTTGCTGCCCGGTAAGCGAGGAAAGGGCGCGAAAACACAGCGGGCGGCCATTTTTTTTACCTGGTGGCCATTTTGGAACCGCCGATCAGCTGTTAGAAAAAACATCGCTATGCAAAAATCGGTAAGCGAAACAGCTTACCGATTGTCGCAACACAATGTTTTACCATTTAAAACATCGCAATGCAATCACTTTTGTGATTGCAAAAAACACGTCGCTATGCGGATTCGTCGTTAAACTAATCGCTCGTTAAGTGAGGCACCACTGTAGTGCATTTTTAAAGGTTTAAAAAATATGAATAGTGAAAACAATTCACACACAAAAGTGAACAAATCATCACTTTTGCATGGAAGATATGGCAACTGTACCTGTATGACTTCGAATATGTACTCTCAGTGTTCCGTTGCTTGCAAACTTCTGTCCACAATACGGACAAATTTTCTCTTTTTCACCTGTATGAGTCTACAAGGAAAAATGGGATACAAGGAATTATTTGGATGCAAAATAAAATGACAATGCCCATATTTCTGTACATCTTTTTTTCACCATTTCATGCACAACATAGTGTAAAATAAACTTTTAGGAGCTTAGTAATGAGTACAATTTAAGATGGCACTACAGTATAAAATTCCTAAACTAATTTTGCGACTCACTGCAAAATAAACCAGGTTATCTAACATAACTACCAGCCAAATTAGATTTTTATTCATCAATGGTTTGACTCATAAAAATTGATTAATCTTTATTGGCTGTTAAAAATTCTTGGGGTGGATGAGACAGGTCTATGTTAGTCCCGTATTTGCACTGTTTCCTTATTGTGATTTTTCAGAATAATTAACACTAGTCTGATTTTTTAAATATGACCCTTCAGATTCATAAAATGCAACCATACCTTATATGTTATATTAGCAGTCAGTATTACTAAGTAGAACAGTGGACACAGTGCAGCCCATGGCATTCTTTCAGTCCCCAGAATCCCCAAGATTAATCGTATTTTTTTTAAAAAAGGAGAAAGGGATATTCCTCCCCCCTTTAACCAAAGTGCCTCCAAGAGCAGTGGTTTTCACTTCAACTTGAGGGGGATCCCCCAAATCCCCACCTATCCATCAAAATAAGCCAGCAATAATGTGACTGAAGTCACTGTTTTTTCTTTTCAATACGGCTAACTAATTTTCATTACAGACATGTTAACTGTTAGCAGTTTACTCAAAACGGAAGTTTTGCTAACAGCCAAGTAAGATGACAAGAGGAAAGGAACTAATGAAATTTCCCATTTCCCATAATTTCTACCACTGATTCCTGCACCACTAAAATAATGTCAATATTTCTTCAGTTGGCCAAAAGTCAAAGTTCATAATGAGAAAGAGACACTGTTGATTTAGTTTCTGTTTTCAAATGCAAGAGCACACAACTATAATGAAATAAAAGTTAAAACAAATACGAACCAGTCAATACTTCAATCTCAAGAATATAGCCTTTGTCAGAAGAGAGCATACAACTTGCACTGGCTTTAGAATGTGAAAGAAAGAGAGGTATTTTGAACACAGAGCTATCTACTTTGCACAGTCTGACCTTTTTAAAATCAGTAGCTGCCAACAGCTAAACAAAGGCAGGGAAAGTAGAATCTTAGTAAGTATAGCTTTTCACATTTTCATGGGCCTTCTGGGGCCTCGATTCCGAGAAACAATTGACAATATGCAGCAATTTTAAACTGATGCTGCTGAAACCAAAATTATATAACCAGACACTGCATCAGTTTTTAGCTCTTTCTAATATGATATTCTGTAAGAAATGTAGGCTAAAATCTTACTGCATTTTTACACCAATGTAATAAAATTGGTATAAGCCTTGACAGATATTTCTTGCAAGTTAAGGAAGTTAGCAAAGCTAGAGTATATTTAAAGAAGTAAGTACAGCTGCACAAGTAGGATAGGGAACGTATACCCTTCCAAATGTTGTTAGCCTCCCACTCCTTTAAACCCAAAGCAACTTGGTCAATGATGATGAATCAATCCAGTAACAGGTGTAGACTCATGGGCTCCTTCACTTCAAGAGCAAAATTCCAGGACTTCCAGCTTGAAGCTGCGACAAGACAGCAGCAGGAGGACGGAGCTCCGTTCCCCTGGGCTGAATTCCGACCTGTTTAGGACCCCCCAGGGGCCGAAATGGGCACCCCAAAGAGGTGCTGAAATGGGGGAGAAGCCTGTTGATCACGGGAGGGACGGTGGTTACCTATGTTTGATCCAGGAAACTCCCCAATCAACCAGTGGCGGAAACAAGCAGCTGAATTAGCTTGCTTGCAAGTCGTTCGCAGCCGGCAAATTAAGAAATGATAAATCAGCCAATTTAACATTATTGTTACCAATGGGTGAGATACAAAACCTTAACTACACTGCTTTATGATTACCCCTGGAGGGAATAATCCCTTTAACAGAATAAATGTCTCTTAGTCCCACCACTAAATAGAGCAGTGGTGAATCTGGAGAAGGAGAAAGAGATGCAAAGAGAATAAATTGGACATTAATTAATTACTTAATTATACTTCAAGGAAGGAAGTTTGGTAATAACTTTGGCGTTAAACTTAAGAAATTTTCCTCTTAAAATTAAAACATAGACAATTAACTTTGGAAAATTTAATACAAACATCGAGTGAATGGGGCTGTCAACTTACATCAGAGACTGGATTCAAAATTAACCCTAAAGGTGAGCAATTTACTAAAGAGGACTTATTGAAGCAATCATTGATGGCACTGGACTGACTGATCTAAGCTATTGGACATCTTTCACTTGAAATACAAGTACTTAGTATCTTGGGACCTAATGCTACAACAAGGGAAATTTTGGGATAAAACAAAATCTACCCTTCAAGCAATCTTAGAAATAATGAGATCCCATAACACAGGTAAAATCATTCAAGGAGCAACTAAAGAAGGACTATATTCAACAGGAGATAGGGAATAATGAACAAGGAAATGTGTGGGTGGTGGATGATGTAAGCCAACCAAAGGAATGGCTGGAGGAAATCAGAGAAGAAAATTTAGGAGATTTAATTCTAACCCTAGAGCCAAGGAGAATTTTAGCTGTGTTAAGGGAAGATATTGGGGTGTGTGTGTGTGTGATCAGCAGAATTAATTAAAAATAGCCTGGAAGATAGAGCAAGTGCATAAAGATCTACTGGAGATAGATCAAGTGTATAAAATGTTTTCAGATGATACAAGAGATGGCAGAATGTTTAGAGAGACAGAAACAAGAATTGGGAAAAGACAAATAAGAGAAGGAGTTACTTAGAAAGATGAAAAGGGGGGAAATATTAAGGTATTTTAATATTCCAGAAGTTAGGTATATACATTCTTTCAACGTTGAGATACTAAGGTATATTTATATCTCAAAGTTGAAAGAATGTATATACCTAACTTCTGGAATTGTAAAGGGGCATATCTTATATATTTAAAAAGGGAATTGAACTAAAATAAGGGGTCACTAATCTGGGTAAAGGCATAACACGGTGGTTTTTAAGGTAAATGGAAGCTAGATATAAGGATGGGGCAAAACAAATAGTAAATTAATATACATTAGATATGATATTGATATAGACATAACAGAAAATGTGGAGATAGAAATGGCTAAACAATTATATAAAGAAAATCTATATAAAATGCTTTAGATAACATCTATTACCCTGTTTCCCTGAAAATAAGACAGGGTTTTATATTAATTTTTGCTCCAAAAAACGCATTAGGGCTTAATTTCAGGGGATGTTTCATTTCTGTCATGTACAACCATCCACATTTATTCAAATGCAGTAATGTCATCTTCTTCTGGTTGCTGCACAATGGTGGAGAGTGGGGTTCCACTTAACTAAACTAGGGCCTATTTTTGGAGTAGGACTTATATTATGAGCATCCTGAAAAATCATACTAGGGCTTATTTTTAAATTAGGGCTTATTTTAGGGGAAACAGGGTATGTGTTAGGAATCTACTCAGTTATTATTGGTATAAAATAAAAAGTTCATGGGTTAAATCACCTCAAAACTACATAGATTTGGAACCGGAATTACTTTTATTATGTATGTTATTAGAGGTTTTTGAGAACATTGTATACTATGAGAGCAGTATTATGATAATAGCCAATATTGTATACTAAAATACACACATGAACGGTTTAAATGTTTAAAAAATTGTATAGATTTTGAAGAGACAGCTAAGAAGACATCAAGATGCAAAAAACCAAAACAAATTAAAAGCAACCCATGCAATACGATGTTTAACAAGCACGAATTGAATGTAGATAGATTGAAAAACTAATAAAATGGTTTTTTTTAAAAAAAGCAAAATCCCAAAAAAAGAAGTCTGGATGGTGTTCTTCTGCGTTTTTTTAAAAAAGCAAAATCCCCCCCAAAAAAGAAGTCTGGATGGTGTTCTTCTGCTAACTCAGCTTGATGCTGTACTAGGCAGTAATTCTCTGACAGATTTGCAAAAGAACTGCAGTAACATTACAGACATATTTATTACCTTCCTCTCATATCTCCCAGTAGCTATAAAGACTGGGAACACCAGAATACAGACTACTAGCCTGCAATAAATACTTATTGGGCAGGGGGAAGCTTACTCCTCTCCCAGGCTCCACTCATTCCAGTGTTCAGAAACCATCCCATACCACCAGTGCCCAAATCCTAAACCTTGGAACAGATCTCACACCCTGATCACACACTGTTCAATATTAAAATGCTTCAGGGTACCCAAACACATAACTCTGGCATGCATTCATATACCTGCCTACCAAATATGATCAAACACATCTAGCCAAATTAACATGTCATAGAACTTCCCATCCATTCAGTGCAGAGTAGGAGGCAGTGAGGAAACTGATGTTAGGCCATACGTTCCTGCCCAGCCCAAAGCACCTGGCAATATGCATACTGAGACACAGAGAATGTAGGAGGGAGAGTGGGAGACACAGTAGTAAAGAAGCAGTGGGGAGTGTTCAGTCATGCAAATATTGATGGACTCAAGCATGACGTCCTCTTTCAAGCACGCTGCTGAGAAACTCACTTTTCTGCACTGGAGGTAAAATAGTGAAAAAGCCTTGGAACCTAGAGTGGTCTTAGCTGGCTAGATAGGCGGGATATAAATAAAATAAATAAATAAAAATAAATAAATAAATAAAAATGACCTTAGGTATACAAAACTATTCTTTCAGAATTGTGTTGACTCATGGATTGGAACCAAAAATTCCTGCTTAACAATTGGAATGGACACTAAGAACCTACTATGGAGTCAGAGCTTCAACACTCATCAGTGAGACCTTAACTTAATATGCTTAATGACGCACTTCCTTAGGTTCTTTCTAAGTGGGATACCATTTAAGAATGCAGCAAACTCATACAACTTTTCATTTCCTGAGATCAGAGAATCAAGGCAAATGCTTGTAGATTAAGAGACATCTGTTTAGAAATATCATGCACTGGTTAATATTACTCCTCACAGATTTCATATTTACTATTTATTTATGTATTTTTACCCCACCCTTCTCCTTGAAAAAGACCTAAGGTGGCTTACAACATTGAAAGACAATATTTAAAGTTGGGAAAAAATGAGTATACAATGATGGTTAACTTCATTAAAGGAGAATATTTAAAACTAAGAACAATGAGTATAAAGAGGCATTCTACATATCGTTAAAATGCAATATTAAAGCTAAGAACAACAAATACACAAATATTTTTTTAAATGCCACTCTGAGAAACAGAAACACAAAACACAAGTATTACTAAAAATTCAGTCAAAGCATAACAATTTATCTAAAAACCATACACAGGTAGGTAGCTAGGTACTGAGGGAAGGCTTGCCTGAAGAGATAAGTTTTTGCCTGCTTGCGGAAGGACATACACAGCTGTACCTCACTTTACAAAAGCCTCGTTTTATATAATTTTTGGTTTACGAACTGAAATTCATAGAAAATAATGTCCCAGTTTAAGTTCTTTTTTTTCCCCTCCTCTGTATGAAATGGTTTCCCCCATGATGCATTGCACCTGGAGGTTTCTAGCACCCCTCCCATTCCTAGCGCAATCCGCATATCGGTTTACAAAATTTCCGCATGACATAACATCCCGGAGGATGCATTAATTTCGTAAACTGAGATACGCCTGTATAGAAATAGACTAACATATTTGGAATGACCACAATTGCAGTACTTCCTAAACCAATCTGTTGACATTCTATAAGTACATAAGTGTATTTTTCTGTTAAGCAACTGAACAATACAATTGAACCTGAAATGAACCTGAAAGGTACAAAATATTTTTCAAAGAAATCAGGGTTGTTGGGTTATCAGTTCAATAGCTATCAGTATTTAAAAATAAAACAGGGCCATCACAATTATCTATGCAGATCTATACGGTCCTGCATGAGTCAGAAATATATTTTTAAAGCAGACATAGGAACTTCTCTTTTAAAAAAAATATAGACACAGTATATGATCTGTAAAATATTAAGAACAAGCTACACTTGAGTTCAGTGGAGATTCCTATTCAGGATGGGCACTGAAGAGCTTGATGACGCCCATGCTAAAAAAAGGTCTTGATGGTTATGCTACAGCTTGCCTATTTTTAATATTTTACTGGTCCAATATTACTCAGCCTTGGTTTTGGATTCTGTACAAGAACAACCCAGCTTTCTTCTTCTTTTTATTTGCACATAGTTGGAGAAATCTACAAGCTCATCAATGTATGGTGGGATCTTGTATTCAAGATGCAACGAAGGAATGAAGCCTGTAGTAACATGTGCTCGTAAATAAGCACTAGGGTAAAACAGGAAAAGCCAGGAGTCTCTCCTCCAGCTGTGAGGCTCTCCTGAAGTCTTTCAGTGAAGCTTCTGATCCTCTCTCATGTTTCGGGGGGAGGGGGGGCTGCAGTGTGAAAGCCGCACAGAAAATCTTGACATGGTCAGGTCAAGCAACAAGGAAAAAAAGGAGGCTGATCAGACTGCTGAGGTTCATTGTTTCAACATGAATTCATTCTGTCACAGGTTGACCTTAAGGAATTGGTACTTTCTGTGAACATGCAACCTGTCTGATGCTGTAAACTTGGGGAGGGCATCTTGAGGCAGAGGAACTTAGGTTGCAAAACAGCCTTCATGAACATATGCAACCCACGGGCCACATGTTTCCCACTCCTGTTGCAAGGGGATATATTACATTTATGTACTATATTTTTAATCTACTCAATAACAAATGTTTTCTGGATGGATTACAAAAATCTAAATGAATAAAATATGGAACAGTTTTATCTATTCTAGAGGGTCTGTCTACATCCTGGAACAGCCTTTGTAGGAGCTCAGGGGGAAACAGGGGCTGGGTGGATGCTGGATAGAAAAACTAGGTGGTCTGCTTTCTCTAAGTGAAAGAGTTTTCCAACTGCTTAAATTTACAGACAGACACTATAAATCTGAATGAATTGCTACACGGGTGATTCTTTTCATTCACTGGAAAGAAAAACATCTTTCCAGCTACTCTTAATTTTAATATTCCAATATACTACCACTTTTCTGCTTTGTCTATCATGCTCTTCCTTTGAACAATCCACAAATGACCATAACTAATGCTAAAGGAATGCCATCATTATAAATGCAAATGAGGTATTGCATAAATTAAGCAAAAAATAACAACAACAGAATTATAGTAATCAGGATCTAAATCAAAACACCCAACAAGATTTGACCCACTAAATCAATGGAGGTACTATCCATCCACAGATCTCCGCCATTTTACGATCCAATGGGTTTTTCGCCAGCAATTGGATTTATGTCTTCACCCATAAAAATGACAAATTACCGTATTTTTCGCTCCATAAGACGCACCTTTCCATAAGACGCACCAATTTTTTTAGGAGAAGAAAACAGGAAAATATAATCTGTTTTCTTCGCTCCATAAGACGCACAGACTTTCCACACCCCTGTTTTGTGGGAAAAAAGTGAGTCTTATGGTGCAAAAAATACAGTATACCTGGAAGCTTGTACAATCTTGTTCTTAAAAAAATATTGTCTAACTGTGGATTTTGGATTCTGCTTTCTCCAATGTATTTTCATTCTGATGGGGCAGAGTGGCCATCTTTTTGTTTGTTTGTTTTTGTTTTAAACTTACTTTTTTATGGCTCTTAAGCACAGAGGGTGTTACAAAGGCTTTGTCGCATAAGTCACATTTATATTTCTTGTGACCATCATGAACCACTTGTATGTGAACATTCAGTGTATCCTTCCTTTTGAATGTAGCATCACAGTGATCACATTTAAAGGTTCTTTCACCTAGGAGAAAAGAAGGAATAAAGATAAATAAAGATAACTTTCACCATAGTATTAATTGGTATTCATAGACTTATGGCAGTTATCAGCACATTGAATGGCATCTTGATTGTCAGGCAGAATGCAGGCCTCACTTCCTACTTCAGAGTAAAAGACCAATTTGAAGTGCATTTGCCTAAATATCTGAGTACATTTGTCCAAACCCATGTGCTTACCAAATCACGTAGAAATGATAGGGAAAGATGTTTTTATTATATTGTGTTTGGCATGTATGAGACACATAATACATGCTCTTCAGTCCAAGATGGGGCCATTTTAGAGCATCTATTCTATTTGACTACAGAAGATGCTTCTGTATCCCTGCAAGCTGCTCATGTTAAGAGAAATCTGTGCAATCTTAATATGGCTTGCTGTAATTTAAGAAGATAAAGCTAGCGCTTCCTATTATTATTACTTTCCTGGGGCAGCCAGATCATTCTGGAACCATTTACAAATATAATCACTCCCAAAACTAATTAAGTACAATTGTAAAGGCAACAAAACAAAAAATAGAAACAAAGGAAGACATACTAGTTTTACTGTACTTCATAATATTTTATAACTGTGTTCTACTGAGGCACTACCATTTTTTATTTAGATTCTTACAATGAAAGTGGGGCCATCAATCTTGGAAGTGAATAAATAATAAACTGCTACCATTCTTCACTGCTGTGTTGCACCAGAGATGCTATTTGCTGTTTTACCAGATTTACTTACCATGAAAAAAACCAAGGTCAATTACTGAACAAGAAAACCATTCAATATTTGCAGAAACTATTTGCAAGCATTATTATCCCACACTAATACTGTACAGAATATTTTCTTCTTTTCTGTAATCTTTGTCTTTGAGGTTGAAAGGATTATCCATGAATCTAAAACCCTTCCTGGGTCAAAACAGAAGAGATATATGTGGCATCTCAACCTGGCTGTTTCACTCAAGGAGAACAATTACTGGATAACCATGAATATATTTTTAAGGGTGGATTTCAGAGAGGAGAGAAGGAATTTGCAGTTTGAAAGGAAGTCTAAGATTTTACCTATAATTTTTCACATCCATATTATCCGGTCTTTTTTTAACTGCTTTTCATAACTTGGGAATGAGAGGTTTAATACTGGGCTAGTTATCGTTCCTGCCCTATCAAATATCCCATTAGATAATACCACCCTCCTTTGTTTTATTTTAATTTTGCTAATTTTGACTTACTTCCCCCTTTTTCCCCACAGTAAAGGATTCAGGGCAGCTCACAACAAGATTAAAACTGATACAGATATTTTAAAAGAGGAAAAAAAAGAGGAAAAACAGGTACACATAAAATGAAAGTCCTAATGCTAAAACACAACTGAACAATACAGTGGAGCCTCAACTTACAAACGTCTTGACTAGCAACCAATTCGAGTTACGACCAGCTCTGGTTGCAAAATTTTGCTTTGAATTGCAACTGGTGCTTTGCAATACAACTGGAAAAAAGACTTCCTCCCTCTCTTTTTTCCTGCCCCTTTTTTAACCTTAGAGGTCCTCTTAAGTTAAAAAAAGGTCTCCTCCTAGTGGACGGATTAACCGCTTTTGCATTAGTTCCTATGGGAACTAACGCTTTGAGATTAAACCAGCGCCTTGAGATACAACCAAAAAACCGCCAGAACGGATTAATCATGTTTAAGTGTATTCCTATGGGAAATGGTGCTTTGAGTTATGACCAACTTGAGTTACAACCATCATCCCGGAACGAATTAAGTTTGCAACTCAAGGCACCACTTAATAGTAATATTAAAACAAGGAGGGTTTTTTTTTTAGTCAAAAAGGCACTTTTAAAAAATACAGCACTGGGTGCTTCCTAAAAATGAAAGCATTTGTTGTTATTTCAAAAAAATGTTGATTTAGTAAATAAATGTTGTACTCTCTTTAATCAACAAGGTTATAATGCAGCCCACATTGTTGAACTGCCAATCAAGGTGAGAGTTTCAGATTTAACAATTCAAATGTCCTGCTTTAGCGAGTGCATGTGTTTGTGTGTATATGCATGTATATATGTTCACACACAGTGTAAATCTCCAACACTGACTTGATATAGATTAGGCATGTGACTCTTAATGCCAGTGAGTTTCCTTCAGTTCTGAGCTAAAAGTGCATTTGTTTTTGTAGGTTACAAGTCACAAAGCTGTGTGCACCTTTTGACCTTCCATATTAGCACTTACTGTTATGTATCAGAAGGTGTCTCTGAAGAGAGAAGGGGGTTCGGAACAGCGCTTTGCATTCCTCACATTGAAATGGCCTCTCTTCAGAATGGGTCTGTGGATGAAAGATGATTCTGTTTAGAAGGAAAGGCTCACAGAGATCAATCAGATGTCATTGCAGTAACTCTGGCTAACCTTGGTGACTGAATTAAGAAGAAATATTGCCTCACTTTGCTGAAGAAGCCAAAAAAAAAAAAAAGACTTAATTCTGCATGCTCCAGTGAGGGAGAAGCTAGTAATTAGTTTGATTGGTGTTAAGCAGATGTATACTACATAGAGAAGTGGGCATATAAATACAGCTAAAAGCTTTGAAAACTAACAACACTCTAGGTTTTGTTTGGTGTTTCACCAGATGCCACAACACAACAGCCTGCAAAATCTTACATGCAGAATGACAGGCTGACATTTTCTCAGTGAACTGCTGCCTAGGTATTCATCCAGTTACTTAGCTCCATCTTCTGAAAGTAAGAAATTGTTAGGATTCAGTTTCTCTCGACCCAAACCCTCTTTATTATTTTGAAACTGAAATTGGAAATTGCAGAATGTGGGGAAATAGTTTCTTGCTTGCTGCATTTGATGTGTATGACAGATGAAATAGACATATAAAATCATGTTTTAAACATATACACATGCTACATAAATGGTTTACTTGGACTGAGAACACAAAGTTCTAGCCACTAAACTAAGGGCACCTTGTGGACCAAGGCAGGGGGTGCCTTGCCCGAAAATGTCATGGGGTGCGTTTCCTGTCTCAGTCACAATTTCTCACTGCATTAAACTGGTTGGAAGACAAACCATAACCTCCTCCTGGAAATGTTAATACAATGGAATGATCAGACTGTTGAAATATTCCTCGCCAATTCTTTTTTCAAGAGAAAAAAAGTTGCTTGTTTGAAGCCATTAGTATGGATCCAAAACAAAACACTATAACTGAATGCTTGTACACTTCTGGTGATAGGAAGAATGATAGAAACTGTTCCATCGCAGCTTACAGTACACAGGTCAACTCTATAATGAAAAGCCGCACTTAGGTTAAAAACGAAATGCTGTACAAATTCTCTGTTGCCAAATAAAGGAAGTAATTAAGATGCAGTTACATACAAATGACAAGACCATATTTCAATTATTCACATATAACCTAGGCATGCACCTGTAAAGCCTATCCTTGCATCCAAGTTCTATAGTCCCTTTTGCTACCAGCTACAGATAATTCTTCAACTTTTTCGAAATTCATGAATTTGGTACAAGAGCTTGTGACTTCTTTGGAATATATGCCTACTTTCATTTTCATTTAGATTTGTTGCAGTATCAAATTGCTGCAATCAAATTGCTTCCAGCTTACAGTGACTCCATGAATTATCAACAAAGGTTTCGATCTTTGTTCTCAGCTCTTGCTAAGACTATGACTTATTTATTTATTTATTTATTTATAATATATGCCTCATTTTCATTTAGATTTGTTGCAGTATCAAATTGCTGCAATCAAATTGCTTCCAGCTTACAGTGACTCCATGAATTATCAACAAAGGTTTCGATCTTTGTTCTCAGCTTAGCTTTT